AAAAGCTCCTGCTGAGTGCAACAGCCTGACTGCAGGTTTTGGTTGTGCTTTGTTCAATCATTTCACAGAGCACCCGTGACAGGAATTGCCGCTGACAGCGGGTGTAAGAGACGGACCCCTGCTGCCGCAGGAGCCAGGCTGGGGGGAGTGGCAGTAGCATTTGTCAGAGCCCAGGAACAGAAAATGGGTTTCAGATGGGCCACTGTGGCCCCGGCTCCCACGGCGCCTTGCACAGACACAGCGACTGCAGCGAGAGGCTCAGCCAGCCCCGCCGAGCATCGCTCCCCTCCTGGCACGTGTCTCTCCCACATTGCTCCCATCCCAGCATGGGGATCTCCCACAGCACCCAGGCCAAATGCTACCCAGCTCCTGCAAGGACAAACCACAACCTCAACAGTCCAAGGTAGATCCCCGATTTGATTTAATCAAGGAGAGAGCAGAAGAGCTGCATTATGCCTGCTCCAGACCCAGCACCACCCACCCTCCCCGGCTCTTCCCTAAACAGCCAGGTATCGATGGATTTATTAAATTCTGTTGGGCTTTTTTTCCCTCCTGCTCTTGACTAGAGGGTTTACGAGCAAGATCAACGTGGGCAAGCCCTTAAATTCAAGCAACACGACTTGCTTGCAAGTCACCACACCCCGCACCCTCCCTGGCACCGTTTTGCACCACAGCCATGCAGCACCCTGCCAAGTCACCGGCTTTCCCCACAGGCTGCCTCGAAGGTCCGGCTTACATAAGAAGGAACAAACTAGCTTTTCTTCGCCACCCTTTCAATGCTGCCATTCATCCCCTGCCCTCCATCCTCCCAGCGCCACCTTGAGGGATGCAAAACACACAGCCAAAACACTTCATCTCACACGTTATCCCAGGGCAAATTTTTGTTGTCCGTGCATCATGCGTCTACAATTTTGTCCCCCCAAACCACAAGTGAATTAAAGGGCTAAGGCAAAAACTACTGAGATGCAAAGGTACCCCTGTGTTAAGGACACTCCGTACCCTGGCAAAGCCATGCCACTGCTCAAAAAGCAAAGAGCACTGAGGCCTGACAGTCCTTCCCCGGAGCACACAGGGTCTGCAGGGCCAGGTCACACGCATCCCACCATAGCAGTGAATCTGGCATCAAACAGCAAGGGGCTGAATCTGTTCAAGGGTTGTGTAAAGACTTCGTCTTTGACGCTGAGTGAGCACTAAAGCTGGTCTCAGTTCTTCCCGGCTGGAAACAGCTTTGGTCAATCCCCAGGTTATTTTTGCATCTCTCCATCAGTTCTGCCTGGTTAGAGACTCTGTGCTGACTTTGGCCAAGTGGTCAAGCCCAGGAAAAAGCAAGCCAGGAGGGGAACAGGACTTAACTTTGCAGGCTGAGCATGAAATGACAAAGCCAGGTTTATTCAGACACAAATAGGCTGCTTCAAAGCATTTTTCCAGCCCTTATAAAATCAGTATTAGCATCATAACGATCTACACTCCACGATTTTTAGTCCTCTTCTGACTTCAGGCCAGCACAGATGCATACCGCCTGCCCTTTCCAATCATTCTGCCATTATTTGTCAAATACCAAATTCCAGCTCCTTTAGGAAACCAGGGGGGAAGGAAGCATGGCTGGTTGAACTCTTTGTCCTTCTCTCCCCCCTCCCCGCACACTTTTACATCATCAGAACAGAGCAAGAAACCCACAAAAAATGCACATTCCCAAGGCTGGAGGCTACATCCCAGTTCTGGCAATCCAGTGCTCTTACCACAAAGCTCAGCGCAGCCTGGATCCCCTTTGACTTCTTAACAATACATTCACAGTGGTGGAAGGGTGGGGAAGGAGGGCTTCAAAAGAAAAGAGCAGCAAGGAACAAGCTATTTTGAACCCAGAAGCCATCCACTGCAACGTGAACCCTCTCCATCTAAGCTCATCTAAGCTTTACTGCTCCTCCCGGCAAGCACTTTGAAGCGTGGCAATGGGAAACGAGGAGACAGCCAACAGCACTCAGCACGTTGGTTGGGTGTGGGTCTACAAACATTAAAATGCCTTAAATATCAACGCAGCTAGACTCGATGGGGTGAAAGCAGGAAAGTACAGAAGACCGAGCCCTCAGTGGCCTTATGCCATCCATCCATCCTTCTGCCCGCAGCTCTTACGGAGGCTGATGAAGCCACTGGGATGCAGGCAGCCTGCTGGCAGCTCGCTGAACCTTGCATATGGGGTGTTTTGGACCTTAGCACGACAAAGGGCGGTATTAGCACATAATGCTGGAATTTAACCCCTTTATCCAGCTTTGGATGGGGAGAGAGGAGAGAAGCCAGTGCGTTCAAAGCCTCCCCTCTCTAGCCAATGCCCGCAAGGGAAGGGAGGGCTTTTTCTTCTATTGCTGTTAAATTACAGTGCAGCCATAAGGAGAGGATATGCTCTCCCATCACATGGAGCAGCTGCTGTGCAGGATTTGCAGCTATTTTGCACCTTCTCTGCCAATTGCACAACCAGGACCCTGCTGCCAAAAATGATGGTAACACTCTGCAACCCATTCCTCCTCTGCCCCGGATGACTGACTGACAGCTGGTAAACTTGAAAAGATGCTCCTGGGCTCTTGCCTGTGACAAGCCACGGCCATGAATCACAGGACAACTGCAGCCGAGGAGACAGCAGCCGGTTTGCAGGGTGAGCCGGTGTCGTAGGGGTACATCAGCCAAGTGCTGGTTGGAGGGGCAGGAAGAGACAGGACCGGATCAAGAGGAGCAGGGGAAGCAGCTGGAAGGAAGTTTGCACGGCCTCTGCGCTACGGTCCCAGCCACCCACCTCTACACATACTAAACATCAATTGAACTTAAATTAAAAGATAAAAAAATAAACACTTTGCAAAGACAAGAGATGAAAACATCCATGCTGTATCTTTGAAGAGCGAGATGAACCCACCCTGAAGAAACGTAAATGTAGCAGGAACCAAGAGACTCCCGGGATTATTCATTACAAGAGACGAGATTCTCAACATCTTTCTGTTTTGCAGCAATTAGCTGGTAACTGGAAAAAAAAATTGAACAGATCAACACTTTTCTATTATTAGTTTTAAATAATGACTCAGAAACAGGCACTTCCTTTTTCCCCAAGCTGTGAAGAGCTAAGCACCAAGACCTTGATCATGGCTTCAGGCTCATTTAAACTGCAAATATCTCTGCAGAAATTACAGGAGAGTGGTGTGAATACAATAAGAAACAAACTCTTCCCTTTGAGCTTAACTACTATCAATTATCTTTCATTTATAGGTTAAAAAGCTTGATACAGCGTATTTGCTAAGAAGAGCACGCAATGCCAAGAAGACGTATGTGTACAGAGGTTGGGGAAGCAAGGAGAGAGAGGGGAAAAGTCACGCCTGCTGATGGCCTCGGAGAGAAACTGTGTAAAGGGCCAATGTAAAGAAGTCTGCCCAAAACACAAGGCTGCCTCCCAAGGCCTGACCCTGGACATTAATTGCTGATACCATCCACAGCCCAGGGAAATAATTAAGCATTTCAGCTCTAAAAGAGTTGCCTGCCCAATCTGCTAAGCAGACAGTTTTTGCAGAGCAATTCAGAGAGAAAAAGAGAAGCAGATTCAGCTGATAAGACACAAAAAGTCTCTCTAAAAGCATTAATTTCCTTTGGGAAGCAGCCCACATGCTCCTAGCACAGTGGGCAACCATCGCTCCTGCAGCAGGTCCCAGCAAGGCAGATGATTAAATCTGCATCAGTCATTCGGTATAAACAGAAAGGCAGCCGATGAGGATGCAGAGTCACAAGCAGTAGCTGGCTCCCTGAAAACAAATGAACTTTGAGTTCACCTTGATGCCTGCTGATTGGAAGAAACCTTTAGATCATCTTCCAGGGATAAGCATCTGCATCCCTGCCACGTCCCCTTAAAGTGTGCACAGGAATGAGGACATAGCACAATTCTCAAGGGACCCGCACTGTACACAGCAGCGACCAGGCCATGGAGCAGCACGTCATCTCCCCATCCTGTAACCAGCTGCAATATGGTGACCTGTGTTTCTGCCCAAGCTACTGCAGTGTGAAGCCTGGACGCCAATTTCTGGACAGCACGTCCATCCAAGAGCACACTCTGCCCATCCAGGTTGGCCACAACCCCCAAGAACTTCAGGCATCATCCTGGAATGGGACATGTCACGGAAGATGCTTCACACTAGCAAGGTATACAGCGGCTGAGGAACCTCAGCTTTTTGGAAAGTAAGAGTCCCGCCACCACTTTGCCGAAAGGTGAAGCAGAGCAGAGGTACTGTGTTGGCCACCTGCACATCCTGAAACACCCCATGGGGCTTGGCGTCACTGCTCCCAACCGCCGTTTCCTTCCTGTGACCCTGGCGTCACGCTCACCAGCTGCGAGCGGCGTGTGTCACCGGAGCACTGGTATTCTTCCAGGGCTGTTTGGCAGAGTCAGGCACTGACCCATCCGATTTGCTTTGAGCCCAGCTCAGAGCGGCCATCAGCAGATGTGGCTGGTGAAGGCACTGCTGACAAACCCAGCTCCCAAAGAGATCCAAGTGCTCTGCAAACCTCAGACCTCCGAAACAGCACCCTGAGACAACACACAGAAGCAGGTGCATAATTTCTTGGGTTTTTCTTTTACTTTTTTTTTTTATTCCTTCCCTTCCTTTGCCATGACACACACTTTGTATTAAATATCTTAAATATATTAATTTTTAAAAAGTATTAATAAAAAGCTACTGAAGGACACAGCTGGCAGAGTGACCAAGGGCAGCGACCCATTGCAAAACATGGGGACATTTTAAAAAACAGAAAACAAACGATAACAAAAAAACCTGGCATTTTTTGCATATGCACAGCTGGCTGGAATACCCTGGACTCTGGCATCACTGCAAAAACGGAAAGGGAAGCAGTAGAAAAAATATATTCCGTTGTACCAACCTGTATGGGGAAGGGAATTAAAAGCAAAAATGAGGAGGCTTTAAACATTTTTGGTATTTCAGATGTTCCCTCCCACACCCACCGCTCAATCACTTTTAGTCTTTAAGCAAGTTTTCTGGCTTGGGGTAGCCAAAGAGTACAAAATCTGCTTCATAAAGCTTGTAGAGCTGCTGCCTCCAAGCCTGTGGGATTTTGGCAAACCAGTTATCCTCCCAGCTGCTGGCAGTCCTGTTCCGGTAGCTGGGAGGGAAGCGAAGCAGCCTGTCCACTTTGAGGAGCTGCAATAGATAAGCAGCATCCTCATCCAGCGTCTCCAGCTTTCCGATGAAATCGTAGTCTATCTGGCACGGATGGCACAGACGGTAAACCTGCCTCCAGTGCTCATTGAAGGGGGCCATCTTCTCTGTCCTGGGATCCAGTAAGTACTGGATGAAGTCAGAAAAGGAGACTTTGAGGCCTGCCCCGAAGGCCTCACTAACGGAGGTGGGAAGGTTAGTATGGTTGGAGTACAGCTTTAGCATGGGGATGGCAAAACGCCGGTAGAACTCCTCATTCTCCAGCTCAAATTTGCTGCGAAAGGCAGAGATGAGGCGGACAAAAGGGTCTCTTACAAAGAGGAACTTGGTGTACTTCTTCAGCTTGATCTTCATGAGGTGCCGGGAGAACTTCCCATAACGGCGCCAGAATTTGTTGAAGGTCAAGTGGGTGCTGGTGTTGTGGACATGTTCCCGGGGGATATCCAGAGGGTTCCGGTATGGGACCCCCTGGTCTAGCAGGCTCTCACTTAGCACAATCATCACCCGTTTCCAGTTGGTACAGGCCACCTTGGGGACATAACAGTAGATGATGCCATGGCGGTCATCCACGATCAGGTGGTTGAGCTCATAGTTTGGGATGTCATCAAAGGAGCGCTCCTTGGTGGGGAAGGTGAAGCTGGAATTGGCACAAAACTCCCGCAACGTTCTCTGCCTCTCTATCTGCAGTTTCTCTTGGTCCAAGCTGTTTCTGTCATTGTGCGTAGACCAGTCATAGCCCCGCACGTTCTCCTCCAAATTGCTCACCACAGGCTTGCTGGAGCCCTGGACGAGTAGCTGCTCTGTCTTTCGGGGGATAGAACTATTCTGTTTCAGGCTCGAACTAAGCAGCTTTGCCAAAAATTCATCCACATCTGGCAAGGCTTCCCAGTCTTCACCTGCTGCGATACCAGGGATGGCTCCTGGGGAATGAGGCCTGGAGAAGGACGTATGCAGGTAGAAGTGAGCTGTTCCCACGTTGTCCCAGTATACAATGATCAGGAGGATCATGAAGATAGAGACCAGCACCACAGAGAGACGGAGGAGCCGTGCTTTGGTCATCCTGACACCTACTGCAATAGCTGGCTTTCACCTGGATTCACCTCCGACTTGCAGAGTGAGGCTTGGGATCCAGCATGGTGCTGCAGACCAGGAGCCTGGAAAGGTACCAGAAAAAAAGTTAGTTCAACCCTTAATCACTCTGGTTTGGTGAGAATGACCTTGTACAATCAAGACTCATTGCAGGGCTGACCATCCATTTCTGCATGGGGAAGAGCTGTGTGAATCCGAGGTACCCACAGAGACCTCACGGAGAAGCACTGACTCGCTGAAAGGAGGCATGATGTGTTGCAATTTTACCAGTTTCCATAGAAATCATGGGGGTTTTATCAATCTCAAGCTTCTAGAGTCATGTGATTTCAAGAGAAGTTCTGTTTTCATTTAAAAAATAAGTATAATATAAAGATTTCAGGCCTAGAGTTTACAGAGGGAAGTTTGAAAGCACTAAAAGATACAACTATATACAGAAAGTATGCAAAGCCAAGAACCTTTCAGATGTCCTTGATTTTTAAACATATCTAACACACAAGAGGAAGAAAGAAGGCTCAATCCGTGATTTTAGCTTGTAGTATCACACTGTCATCTCATCTGCCCACGAAGATGCTCTGTGCCACTGTGCTGAAAACAAAGATCTTACCGGAGTTATAAATACATAGCTGAAGATGCCGTTGCCTCAGTGGCTAAAGCAAGCCCCTGTTGAGAGAACATCACTGACCTGAACACACCGTTTTATCTAATCTGTGCGAAGGCAGACGACAGTAGATGTCACGCCCACGACCTTTCTTGGTAGGTACTTCATTTTGTCAAGAACAGAGATTACAGTTTTCCTACAAAAACCCCTAAAGACATGTGGCCCCGATAAGAGCCATGCATCAATAAAAACCTAAAGGAATGATTACTTTTAACTGAATGATTTCTGAGATTAAGGATGCTTTGATAAATCTTTGCCCATGTCCAGACTGTGTTGAGTCAGGACCTCTTTTCCTGGTTTAACATAATTTTTACTTCTATCGCACTTATCCCTAACAGCTCTTGATCACCAAAGACAGATGAGAAATCACCATTAAAAGGGCAGCTCAGAAGACCTCTTCTGGAGGGTGCAGCAGGTTTGGTTTCTTTACTTCAACCAGTACCATCTTTTCACTGCTACCTGCTTCCCTGCTGACTCCCAGCCCCTTTCCACCAGCAAGCTCCTCAAGGCAGATCCGTCTCCCCACCCTGCTGCATGTTTTCTGGTCCAAGGCTCCATGCAGAGGCGGGCGGGCAAACCAGCCTTGCTTTCTCCCCAGGCGATCAAAGAGCCAGTGCCTACAGCCAGGGGAGAGCAACATAGTAAAGTGAGGAGCAGCTATCTGATATTTTGAGAGAGAAACCAAGGTTTGCTGTTTTACAGTCTCTCTCTGAAAGGTTTAATGCCAAAAGACAAGCAAAAAGTAGTCACTCCCATCTGCTCCTCCCCTCCAGCCACAGTCCAGCCCCTGACTATAAACATGGAACAGCACCTACAGATAGAAAACAAGAGCTGCCCTTTCTGCAGATATCCCCGTTCTTTCTAATGACTTCAGAACAAACCATACAAACACCAGCTCTGAAAACAAATCCACTTCAGGGCAAGCTGCCCTGAAAAGCTTTTCAAAACGAAGACTGGGTCTCTCTTCCTCTTGAAAAACAGAGGCTGCTCCCCAGCCAGCTCACACACCACCCTTAAACAGCACCAACCCCACCCTGTACAGGGATGCAAAGTTCAGATATGCAGAAGCGCTAAGCTCTGTCATTCCCAGGGGAAACTTGCTCAGCACCTTTGATGCTTACAGCAGCCTTGCATTGAATGATTTGTCTAAAGAGCCATCTGCGTGGCTGTGCTTATGCCTCAGGGATGCCAGATTTTAACAATCAAAGTCCTGGTTTCAAACACTAGACCAAAAGCATGAAACCAGAAATTAGTAACAAACAGGAACAATACCAGTTATGATTACATATCAAAGTATTAGCTCAGCTTGTCCCAAAAGACATAAAATGCAGAACTGAATATTTAAGGGTTTTCCACCCTGGTGTATTTATTTACACTTCAGGAGAGCCAGAAATTCAGTGTAGCTGCAGCCTAACAGGTGGCTTTGCACTGCAACACCAAACACTCTGTTTCCTGGAGCCAGGCTCTTATTCTACATGTGAAGAAGAGCTGGAGAAACTGCAGATGCAACACTTTGCACTCTGCAGAGCAAGAAGCAGGTATTGCTCAGCAGTAATTCTCTACATTTAGCTAGTCAAGATTGAGGATGGAGCAGATCTAAGAAGAAACACCCAGAAAGAGATGAGGACGGAGTTAAAGAAGGGGCAAATTACATATGTGCGTCAGCACTTCAGGCCAAGCATCTCAGTCCAACAGCAGAAGATAATGGAGAGACGCTGCCAAGCCTACTGCTTGGCGCGCTTCTGGGTTCGCGTTTTGCCTGAATCTGTTCTTGCTTTCAAGCCGGTTAGCTGTTCAGGGCAGGGACTGCTTCCTATTCTGGATGAATAGGGTGCCCACTGCGCACATAATTCCTAGCACACTGGGTTTCCAACGCTGCTTGAGACCTTTAGGCTGGCTGGAATGCAGCAAGCCCGGAAAGCTGCATGGAGCATCCCTTTCTGCCATCCCTATACCCAGCAGCTTCCACAGCTTCGGGCAGCGCAGCAGCCTGTTAGCATTTCTGAAAAGCTGTCCCACCCCGGCGTGGACAGATCACCCTCTCGGCAGCAGCGACAGAAGCAAATGAGACGCTGTGTGTGGCACACGCATTCCTCGGGCAAACGGAAGGAGGGCTCTTCGTCAAAGCCACCACCATAATGTAGCTTTACCGAGCGCACCCCAAGGGCTCAAGCCTGCTTTCCAGGACAGAGCACGAAGGCCTGTCAGAGCAGTTGGCTTTTCCAAGACACACAGCAGCGAAGAGCACAGAATCAAAATGACTCCACTTCTGTTAACTCTATCAGTGCCAGAGAGGAACCCTGGAGAATAGCAATAACACAGCTTAATTCCCCCTCATGAGAAAAACGCTACAGAAAACAGAGTTACTCTATTGACTATAATACATCCTCTTCCTGAGCACTTCATAAAAGATGCCAGACTGAAAGCACAAATTAGAGGTCTCTGTGCACATCAGAGGGAACGTGCCTCCACCCTCCCCTTGCCAGAATCAAAAGGAAAAACCTCCAGAAGGAGCCAAGAATCTACATTCAAGTTTAACCCAAAGTCACCAGCCAACAAGAACATGCACCAGGATCCACACAAAGCTGCTTCTGTGACATGACGCTGGCAAACCGGGAAATGGACCAAGTGCTATAATCATCCTACAGAGTCCCCTGAGCAGCCATGCTGTGATCACCTCCAACCTGAACCTGGCCTGGGTGTGAACCAAGGACTCTTCTCCCCATCCCAGGCCCGAGAAAGACACCGAGGTCTGAGGTCACTGGTCCCATCCTCTCCTAACACAAGCTGCCATGTCAAATAACCACCTCTCACTCTCATTTAAAACCAGAAAGGGGGGTATGTGTCCCCAGCACTCTTATTGCAAAAGCTATTGCAGATGCAGCTCCTCAGGGATTTGGAAGCCTGATTTGCACTTCACAGCCCAATTGTAACTGTTTGTTCTGAGGGCAAACAGCAGCTTAAGTAATTCCTGTCTCTTTCTTCCTCTCCTCTCAGCTTTGTGCAATGACTACATTCTCTCACAGCCTCTCTTTGCTGTCACTCCAGCTCACTTACAGGAGCAGTAAGGCCTGCTCCATACACACAGGTATGTACCGGAGGCAGGGGATAATAACCCCTCTCTATGAGCAGCGATGGTTTCAAAGGTACTGTGCCTCCAAAAGCTTAGGTGCAGTTTCCATCTCTTCTTGCTTTGTCCTTCCCCAGGCTTGTCCCTCTCCCATTGCTCCTAACTCCCCGTGGAGAAGCACGAGGCACAGGTCAGGCACTAAGCACCAGCTCACCTCCTTCAGCGCCCACTCGTTCTCACGTGAGAAGATATGGGATTTCAGGTAGCTTGCTTGGGCTTTGCCTGCTTCTGAAGACAGAAAGAGGTGGAATGAGAATTTTTAAAAACATACAAAAAACCCAAATTCAAACAGATACTTTCCCTTGGGGCACCTGCATTCACCAGCAATTGCTTGACCCATACAGCCTTCTTTACCCACATATCATGGTACACACCTGCTACCAGTTACACTTCGGGAATAAGAAGGCTTTAGAGAAGTGGAACCAATTTAACCTCCTGCAGGTGCAGGAGAACAAGCTCCCATCAGCCAAAGCAGATGGAAGCTGTACCAATAGCCAGAAACAAATTTCACATGCTTGGCCAGCCCTCAATAAATTGCTTCTCCCCAGCTTTCCAAAAATCTAGCACCCTTTGCAGAGGAGGAAAGTTTTAACCCATGTAATAACACCACTGGTTACATTAGTATAAATGCAGCATAAACAAAAAACAGGGCTCGCGTTGCATGTTTTACCCCAACTTTGCACGCGTGTGCTAGAGACCAGCAGAAGAACGTCCTAATGCATGTAGCTATCCCAGCGCCTTCCCTCCAGTCGCTACCACAAAGCCTGGTTTGTACAGGCTTGGCAGCACCAGTCACCTCTTTTTTAATATCCATACTTGGAAGTTGTCTCAATAACCATAGTTCTAAGACTTCCAGAAGGAAATTCCCCAAACGCAGCATGTCCTGTTCGTGCATTACCTTTGTCATGAACTTCAAGCACACCCATCATTCCTGGCCTTACAAACGCAGGAAGACTCTTGGCAAGCCTCAGTGCCTATAGCCTGCGCCACCAAAACCCCAGAATGATTGTTGTATGTCAAACACAGGGGCCAGAAATAAGACCCTGCCGCTCACATTGCCTGCCTTTGCCTTGCAAGCACCTGATTTAAGCATAGTTTTCTACTGTTTATAGTTCAGCTCTGCTCTGAAGTTCTGTGCATGAATTGCAAGCGGGATTAATCATCTTAACGGCCATCTCCGTGAAGCAACGTTGAAAGCCACGCTCTACCGTCAATAGAAACGCTCCCCCGAGAAGGCTGTGTCCTCGGTTTGCTTTTGTCGCCGCTCGGACCGCAGACGCTCCCGAGTCCAGGAGCAACACAGACTGCAGAACACCACACGAAAACTGCACAAGCGGGCTGTTATCAAGCCTGCAGGCCCAGCGCGGGCAGCAGAGGGGGGAAAGCCAGCGTTTCATGCTTTGGAGAAGAGGAACAGCCTCGCAGAGCCGCCCGCCACCCCGCAGACCTCCGAGCGCCCGCAGACGCGGCC